ACATCACAATATTTTTATTAATACAAGGTCTGGAGTGAAGTTGGAATATATCGGTCTACTTCTTCTGTTACCTCCCCCACAAAGGGTCAAAATTTTTAGTACCCTTGAAGCTCATAAAACGCGAAATTCATATTCGATTCCATTCAGACTTGGTACATTTCAATATTTCCAACAACACAAGATCTGTTACAAAGATGACGCAGATCGGACCATTTATTCTGGTACCTCCCCCACATAGGGTTCAAGATTTTTGAAAAACAAAACGCTCAAAGAAAGCCTAAAAAACATCCAACTCTCTTCAGATTTTACACATCCAAACATTGTTGCTAATGTAAGGTCAGTTGTGAATTTGATAGAAATCTACCAACCCCTTCAGGCACCTCACCCACAAAGGATCACAATTTCCAATACTTATATCTGTCATAACTAGCAAAACAAGTCGGCGACTTCTCTTTACAAGTCTTTACAAGACTTTCTATATCTAAATATTTCTCTTAACCAGAAATCTGATATGAATATCGTATTTATCGAAATGTATGATTTCGCATAAAATTGGATATAAATGTTCGATTTCCTTCAAATTTTGCCAATACCAATATTTTTGTCCGTACTATATGGAGTATGAAAATGGAATCCTTCGGCCCGCTACATATGTTACCTCACGCATATTTCCACATTTTCCAAAAAATTGCACATATCTCATATAAAGTACAGGAAGTAGTCGATATATTCCAAATCTGGCACGTTGTAATATTAATATCAATTTTAGGTCAGATGCAAATTGATCAATATTGGCCAACTGCTTCGGAACTTCGCCCTTAAAGGGTCAACAGTTTGAATAATCATAACGCAAGGCTGGGTGTATACATCTGTCTGTAAAACCGACTGATAATATTTTACTTGTTATTGATAAAAAATAAATTCCTGCCTGCCCGAATCACCCTAATATGCAATAATTTTTTATATCCTGATCCACAATTTCCTTAAAAACCAAATAAGGATGATCTATTATGTTCTAAAATACATACATATGTAAATGATAATCTATATAAAAATTATGCACTTGAATAATAAAAAAACTACCTCAGCGGCGTTATACAATCCAACTGTGGACACGATAATCTATTATTACTTAGCATATTGAAGAATTTCACTTTTCCATTTCGAAATACACGACACTCATACTGACGGTGATATTTGATATTTTCTTTGTATTCTTGACACTCGCCACACAGAGGCCAACCACAATCTGGGCAACGGTTTTTATTTGTAGTCTTTGGCAAAATCTCATTGCTGTCTACATTATTTTCAACCGTCCCCGTTGTGGCAGTACATTCTTGAATGGGACAAAAACATTCCAAACACAAAACTGGACCATTACACTTGGGTCCCAATGCAAATGGTAATTCTTCGATTAGAATATCTTTCGATTTACATTCTACGGGGCCATTTATTAAATATCGTCCTAACACCGCGTTGTGATTTACATCGGTACGATTGATTATGATCGGTTGTTGTCCGTCGAGTGTCATCTTTGAAACTAAGCACCGCTGGTCAACGAAAATATTGTTTGGTGCGATCGCCAGTAATGTTCCTAGTTGAGTGTTGGCGGCATATGCCGAAAAAATACTGGGTATTCAAATTTCCCATTCGTTTTTTCGTTTTGTGTTCTATCAGTATGTGTGCGTGCGTTTGTGTTTATTTGAATATTTGACTTTTTTGTTTTTTTTTTTCATTCCATTAGCCGTTTTGATGCATCAAAAGATACATCGTTGCGGTTTCGCTATGATCTCAGTTTTGCATAAATGTAGTTTTCTTTTTTAAATTGCACAGCCTTTTGACATGCTTTGGTGTGTGTATGTGAGTGTGTGTTCATTATGCGTTTGATTTAATAGCACCGCCACACATCATCGTCGTCTTTATCGTTTGATTTTAACAAATTACCAATCAAATTGATAAATTTATGGATGCTACGCATGAATTACTTTCATATCCGGCGAAATTATAATTCATTTACATTTATGTGAAGCTATTTGCAGCTAATGTATCCTACAATAATATCCAAAGTGTTGAAACATCTATTTAGCTATGTACGATTAAATGTGTTGCTCATACGCAACGCATAACTTCCCTTTATAACATTTCATTGCATTTACGGGCTTACGGTTTCCGTTACTAATACGCCTAGTCGTCTTCGTTTACCATGCGTTTACAAAGGCAAGATAACTGAGCACATGTATTAGCTGTCAAAAAATTAATTTTGTTTGCTAAGGGCGCAAGTACATAAGAAGCTTGAAGTCATGGCTGGGCATATTTTGTGACATTTCATAAAGGAATTACAGAGCCGCACTAAAATCCTGCCGTCGTTTTCGTTTATAATTTGACATTAATATGCCTAACCATGACTTCAAGCTTTTTATGTACTTGCTCCTTAACAATTTCTCGGGCTTGGAATATATGAAAATCAATTGAATATTGGCGAAAAAACAAAAGAACAGGATAAACGAAGGAATAAAGAAGGAAAAAAACAAGTAAATTAGTATCAGTCGGTTTTGCCGACATATGTATACCCCCAGCCATGGTAGAAGAATAAAGGTAGACGCATCGACACAGCTGCTGAGACAATGAACTGTCAAACCAATTTTAGAATTTAAAATGTTGAATGAAAAATTATTTAAATTTGTAGAAATTGTTGAAAACCACGAATTATAATAATCTCCGAATGACGTCACATAAGAAAACATATTAAAATCTACTTATATTTAAAAAAGCATTTAAAAATTTTTGACATATCAATGCTCCCAAGCGTTGATGCATCTACCTGAATTCTTCTGCCATGCCCCCAGCCTTGAATTATGATTATTCAATCTGTTAATCATTTAAGGGGGACGTTCCTAAGCAGTTGGCCAATATCGCCCACCCGTATCTGATCTAAGGCTCATATAAATATTACAACGTGTTTGATTTGGACTATATTGACTACTTCCTACACTTTATATGAGATATGTGCATATTTTTTTTTTAATGTGGAAATATGTGTAAGGTAATAGATAAAGCGGACGGAAGTATTCCATTTTCATACTTCATCTAATACAGATAAAAATATTGGTATGTGCAAAAATTGAAGGGAATCGAACATTTATATCCAATTTTATGCGAAATTATAAATTTCGATGAATTACATATTCATATCAGATGTTTTGGTTAAGAGAAATATTTAGATACAGCAAGTTGTAAAGAATCGCTCACTTATTTCACCCTATTGACCCTTTGTGGGTGAGGTACTAGAAGGGGTTGGCAGATATAAATCATCTTCACAGCAGATCTTGAATGCGTTGGATGCTTATTTCGGATTTTATTATCGTTTTGGTTATTCAAAATTTCCACCCTTTGTGGGGAAGGTATCAGAAGGAATGATCCGATCTCTACCATCTTTATAACAAATCTTGCGTTGATGGAAATATTGAGATGTGCCAAGTCTGAATGAAATCGGATGTTAATTTCGTGTTTTATAAGCTACATGAATATCCTCAAATTTGACCTTTTGTGAGGGACGTGCCAGAAGGAGTGAACCGATATATTCCATCTTCACACCAGACCTTGAGTTAATAAAAAAATATTGTGATGTGTATCATTTGAAGACAATCGAACGCTTACATCACATTTAATAAGAGTTATAATTATTCAAAATTTTGACCTTGATGATGTGGACCTATATTGTCCATTTTCGCAACTGACCTAGCACTGATGCAAATATTAGAATTTGCAAAGTTGAAGCAAATTTGGATTATCCTTTCTCTTTTTGTGCAGTAAATCATTTTCTTTGAAAATGTTGAGATTTTGTGGGGTAGGTACCAGAAGGAGTGGACCGCTATTGTCCATCTCCGAACTCGATCTAAATTTGACAATAATATTACGATGTACCAAGTTTGGATCAAACCGGTTACTCCCTTCGAGAGTTATCGTGTGTACCAGCCAGACAGATAGACGGACGGGCGGACGGACACCACTAGATCGACTGCAAATGTCCTGAGACGGATTTGACGGATTAAAATCGTTATTTCGATGAGTCACGTTTTGACCGTATCAAATGATATATACTCTCTGTAGCCATATGGTGAGGGTATAACAAAGAGAAATTTGACTGGTGAGCGAGGTCTTGTTTTTGAGCAGCGCTGCTTTTAGGCATACTAAACCACGAATATCATAAGTATACGAAATACTATACGTTTATACTACTAATTAATTTGACGTAAACGAAATGGAATTAACATGGTAGAAAAATAGAGGTAGACGCATCAACGCTTGGAAATATTGATATGTCAAAAATTTGTAAATGTGTTTTTTTTTAATGAAGGTAAATTTTTAAATGTTTTCTTATATGACGTCATTCGGAGGTTATTATAATTCGCGTTTTTCAACAATTGTTATAAATTTAAATAATTTTTCATTCAACATTCACAATTCCAAAATTTGTTTGACAGTTCATTGTCCCAGCAGCTCTGTCGATACGCCTTCCTCTATTCTTCTATCGTGTTACAATCCACTGAATTTCGTATATGTAAACATGCTACTAATTTCAAAGGAGTTTATATTTACATTACTCATACGTTTAGGTAAACATAAGTCAAACATATACACACAATTCATAGAGATTTTTGGCATAGACGAAACACTGTTGCTCTCTTTTCTCTTCATCATCTGTTCATTCACTCGCGACTCTCATTTCCTTTACAAAATCTCATCTAAATACAAATTGAAACAAATATGTATGCATGTGCATACACATGTTTAAACGTTTCACAAAAGAGTAGCCAAAATAATAAATATTAGCTTGTTCATTCAGAAATTTCTCAAAGAAATTTTAAAAACATCATGATGACGATCGAACAGCATTTTACACATCTTTATGAAAATATTAAAAATGCGTTTTTTGAAGAATGTCCTAATTTGTTGGAAATTAATCAACAACAATGTAAACAGTATTAAATGCTACTAACCTCAAAGGTGTTATGCAATCCAATTGGGCACAGATACCATCTTCTCCAACATTACCAGCAAATCGAACATTTGCCTCGGCAAAAATCTTGCATTCGCCCTCATGGACCGGTGTATCGAGACATGCACTGCACAGCGGCCAATCACAGGTGTCACAACGATCCAACGAATCGCCGTCCTCGCCAAATGCTAAGGGCATATAGCAACCCAAGCAAACGATGCCACCTGATTTGGGTCCCATTGCAAAGGGTAGCTCATCCACGACAACTTCACCCTTAGTCACAGCATCGGTGGTGACAAGGCTGCGGCCATAGCGAGGATCAATTTCAATGCGTGATTTGAACATTTTTCCAGTAGCTGCTGCTGCTGCCATGGTGTTTACATGGAGTTTTGATGTCGATGGATACCGCCGTAGTGGATGATCTTCGGCTGGATCTTTGTGGGTGAATTCTTGTAATTCAATAATTTTTGAAAATTTTTTCTAAAAAACCGTTAAAAAAATAAGAATTTTATTTCGCTTTAAACGCGACTGCTGAAGTGTTTCGTTGTCCCGTTACGTGTTTGTACCGAACTAAACTAAATTTAATGAATATGTTATTTTCTTTGTTTTTTTTCGAATCAATTTAATTTTGTTTTAGATTGAGGTTTGTGCGTCTGTTGCAATTGACAGAATTGAATTGATTTTACTGTGGACCAACCGCCTTGCCGCTTTCAGTGTTTTATATTTGCCGTTCTCTCGCTGCCTCCTTTGGTGTATATTATTTGTTTTTATTCTCGGTCTATTTTTAAGAATTGTATTTCAATTATGTTCTCTGTTTTTGTTTGTTTGTTTGTCTGCCCATACAAATTTGTTGTCTAGACTTTTCACCGTGTGTTTTTGTGTGTAAACTTTTGTTTTCCCCCTTTGGAAAATCGCCTCACGTGCATCTTTTGTTTAATTGAGCGAATGATCGAGAGTTGATACCCTTTTTTAAGACATAGGCATGCAGTTGAATTTTGGCCTAAGTAGATGCTAAATATATATGCCATGTCAGCAATATGAGCAGTGTAACGATCATTTTTAATTTAAATTTTTATATTTTATGTACTGCATGTTTTTGTTTATTTCTACAAAATTCTCGATGATAAAATGAAATTTCTATGACATTGTTTCGTTAATATGTGCATGTACATATTATTTTATATATATGTTTATGGTCATATTTTGCGTATAAATATATTGCTTCTACAATTTGTTATACCTTTATTGCGCAAAAATTTCGATATTTTATTTAAATAAATCACAAATCGCACTTGTGTGTAAAAATGTTTCTATTTTTTATTAAAATGGTGTTGAAAATATTTATATACCATCAAATAAATCGTTTTGTTTATTTGACATTTACAGTTGACATATTTACAGTTTTATTACAAAAAGAGAAAAATTTGCCCCCAAAAATTATTTTTTATTTGATAAAAATATTTTTTACAGACGTTTAACGCTGCCAATCTGATTGCGTATACGTCAAACGCAATGGAAATGTAACTTGAAATTCGCTGGATTTAGTACGTGTAAATATGCTCGTAAACTCCATACCATGGTAGAAGAATATTAGTATTCTTCTGCCATGATACACACCAAAATGTGATGGTAGAAGAATATAGGTAGGCGCATCGACTCAGCTGCTGCGACAATGAACTGTCAAACCAATTTTGGAATTTAAAATGTTGAATGAAAAATTATTTAAATTTGAAAAAAAAATTGTTGAAAAACGCTTATTGTAATAACCTCCAAATGACTTCGAATAAGAAAACATATAAAAATCTCTTTATTTTTGAAGAAACATTTAAATTTTTTTGACATATAAATGTTCTCAAGCATTGATGCATCTATCTGTATTCTTCTCCATGTGCTCTTCCTTTCCTTTTTTCCTGTAAAGTAGACCCTTTTAAATTGCATGTCATGGTGCGTTTCATATTTGTATCCACGGTACAATAACACTGTCAGACTTATTCAAAACTATATGCAACAAGTTGTTTTAATTTTTTTTATATTTTCCTAATTTTTCTCCTTTGTTCATCTACGGAGAAGTCAGTCGATGACTAAAACCAGCCAAATATGCGCTTTATGTATTCCCACCCTTAAGGTGGAAACGCTTTTCGGCTGGCTTCTTTGGAAAAGAACAAAGGATTGTAGGGCCAAAATCGAACTAAGTCAACCTAAATTTCCTTTGTTCCTCTACGAAGAAGACAGCTATTGATTTAAACCAGTCAAAAAAACGCTTCATGTATTCTCACCTTGATACAATCCAATTTTCCTTCAATTACCCAAAATAAAGTTGTGTTCCAGAACCTGCAAATTAGTACTAATTAGCACTAATTCTGCTACAACGCGTTCCCGTACTCCAAAAACTAGCAAAACTTGCAGCTCTCTCGAGAAAAAAATGGCGCTGAGTGGTGCACATTTCTGCTTGTTTTAGCTACATGAATTTGGCCGAGCAGAAATGTGCATATTGTAAATTTGACATTTAATTGGCAGGGCTAACAAGGTTGAAAAATGTATTGATACATTTCATTAAAGAAAATGATCAACTTGAAAACTAAAGAAAAACTAATATTTGTCGTGCAAATAACAAAAAGAGAAAATATGGAGCAACTGATGTATTCACTTTTGGATGATTCCAGCAGTCAAGAGGACTGGCTGAATGAGGAATCAAATTATTAATTATTATTATAAATTATTAATTTTAACTTATCGTCTTCAATACTCATTTTTTAAATGTTGGCGCTCTTTTCACCAGTCCGATTTAGGTTGTTTACTTTTGGAATTTTGACATTTTATCGCATATCTGCTAATTTTCCGTTCCCTTATTTTTTGAGCAAACCTAAATGAGAATGACATTTCGAACTGTTCTCTCTTCTGCTAGTTTTACTACTAAAAAGTACTGGAACACAACTTAAGTCTTACTGAAAGTTATGAGAACGTAAAAGCGCTGACGCTACTATTTAGTTACGCTTACAATTCTCATCTCCATTATTTTAACTATTGATATCGATAACTTAGACGACATGCATTTTATCGATTTACCGATCCCTAACTGCTACTTTGACATAGAATTTTTGCAAAGTTACATTATTTTGTGGTGTTTCGTGGTCGTACTTGTTCCTCTCGCTCGCAAATCAAATTTTAATCAAAAGTAAGTAATATGAAGAAAATTTGAAAGAAATTCCCAATAAAATAGCAACAAACAAACAACGGGTTAAATAAAGCAATAAACATAAAGTGACAATAATTGAGCTAAAAACATTTGTAAAATGGAATAAATTAAAGAAGAGAAATTATAAAAGAAGTGATTTCATAACCTAGAAAAATTATTTCAATTGACAAGAAAAGAGAAAAATGTGGCGACGTCGTCGTGGATGTATTTGACATGGTAGTGTTAGTGGTGGTGGTGCCAATATGAGCGAGTGTGTGTGTATATGGTTGAAGAAAATTCGTAAATGGAAAACTGGGCAATAATCATGAGGGGAGGTATTTTCCTTCATGTATTTGTTGGTGTCGAAAATAAGTTTTTCGTTTTCTTTTTTTAGGCTTGCAAAAAAGGAAGAATCGCTGGTATGGTGGTGTATGTTGATTATAGACCGGTCTATTTATTTAAGTCATAACATGTTGGTTTTATCTTCTTTAATGGCCATTGCAGATAACCACCACCAGCCCCCCAAATATCTTTATCTGGTAGTGAGCGGACGGGAACACTGTTAAATGTTAATGTTAGCCGGTCAATCACATTGTTCAACCAGCTCGTTTGCTTGCTTGCAGTAACAGCAACCGGCGCTGCGCTGCCATAGCAATTGAAAATATATCGTAGTCTCTGAGTAGTGTTTGCGCCAATTACGTAACATACCTTTTTCACTTTTCTTCAATAATGTGAAAAGGAAATTTTGATTTCCTTTCATTATTTTCGAAACTATTCTATTTTTGGTGTGATCGGGTGATAGAACCCAAAGGATTTGAATAGGGATTTAAATCATGTTTCTAGAATATTCCTTGACGCCCTACTCTCTCCAGAGTGGTGTGCATCAAATCATGTGAATTTGATAAAATTTCACACCTTGCATAGATTTGAAAAAAATACATTTTGTTGTTTCTACACGTATCTGTGGGCTGCCTATCTTTGGTGTTGTATAAATAATAGACTTAAATTTTGTTTGTTTTCCCAGTTATCATTATCAGTTCCAATTATTAACATTAACATACTTCAATTGTTGTTATTGTTGTTGGAGGCCATTGCTGAATATGTGTTCTTATTCATTTCCAGTACACTTTCATAACAATGTAAAATTGGGCTACCAGACAATTTGGAAATAGCTATGATGTAGTCCCATTAATTGTTGTTTAGTTCCAGATGTGTCAAATATTTGTTGTGGTCCAACTAAAATCTCTTATTTTTTAGTAGGTACAGCTACCCATTGTGGTATATGACACTTTTTCATTATGTAATTCCATTTTTATCTTTGAGATACCTACATGACTAATTTGCCGCAATGGAGAATATTCTTTTCATAAATGCATATTTGTGACAAAAATTGTTACATAATATTGAAATTGTTTACTATTTCTAATTATAAGCTCATTTTTTATTTATAAAAAATAATTGTTTACTAAACATAAATAGAAGATTATTTGTACTAAAATATTTAATCTGTCTATGACAACATGGAATTTTTTTCTGATGACTGTGTCATGTAGAGAAGTGTCATTTGCCAATTTCCAAGGTTGCACAATTTTTTCAATTTATTGTCTAGGGTGGTGTTTTGTGCAGCGTCTTTATGTCGCTTTTATGATCTTCCTGTGATTTGACATTGATTGCTGCCATGGAAAATATAAACTGGAACAGGAAGTGTGTGTAGTTTCAATTTGACTTTCAGGGCTAATTCGAGAATGGAATTAGGGAACATATTAAGCTAAACATCCTCCGCCATCTGAACGACATACGTTTGACTACTACGAAAACTTAGGAAAACCCTTTCTATGCCGTTCTCATCCGTTACTTCCAAACGAAATGGGTCAATGACTGTGTCAACATTTCTTAATCATCGTCTGTTTGTACTTTAAATAATCCCCACTTAATGTAGTTCCATGCGATTAGTTTTTTAAAAGCAAAAAAATCCACACATGGGGTTCCTCAAATCTGATACATGACAAGAGGAACTACAGTTTTACTGTCCTGTTGGAAAGTCCAAGGTCTGCGGCCAAAATGTTTGCGCGTCTAAGGCTTTAATATAACCTCCAGAATATTTTCGGGTTAATATTCGGACGATAAATATGAGTGGAGAGCGACCACCGGCTGTTATGGCGACCCACACCATAGCCGTCGCTTGAGTTCTGTTGGCCAACCGAAGGTGCACATTTTCAGCTAACCTCTTTGGCAAGTAAACACGATCATTTTGTTTGTTTACAAACTGCTGGAGAACGAATGTTTTCTCATCGGAGAAAACCAAATTGGGCAGTTCAGCACTTTCGGCCAAGCGAAGCAACTCTTTAGCTCTTTTGAGTCTATGTTCTTTCTGTTGCGGTGTAAGTTCTTTCACTTTTTGGAATTTCAATGGCTTTAGCCCGAGCTAGAAATGACAGCAATCATCCCATCCTGTACTCCTCATAGTTTTATCGGTTCATTTCTGATATCACATACTATTTCCTTATTTTAAATATTTATAAATCCTAGGCATGTATAGTTTTATGTTTCATCCTATTTATTTATTTTTTTAATTTTTGTTGTATTTTTTATTAATTTTTTTAATTTATTTTTTTATTTTATTATTATTTTTTTTATTATTATTATTATTATTTTTTATTTATTTATTTATTTTTTTTTTTTTTGTAAAGATTATGCTTTGATTTTATTTCCCAATTCAAAAATGCAAAAAATATCAAATTAATAAACGTTTTGGAAGTGCTCAAGCTCCAACTGCCTACGTCCCTGACTCATGTATTCTTCAGTCCAAATACACCAAAGTTCAAATCTTCATTTGAAATACTAACAGTGAACTCCATGAGTTTTTTACTGAATTTTCATATACAATCATCTTAATGAAATATCCATATTTGGCTGACTCTCCAATGAAATAATAGTAATTATATGTTGTGACGTCATAGAAGAAAAATCAATATCAGGCAACAACTGACATTCTATTTTCAACACCCCAAATGTAGGGGGCTTGTTTTTGTATATTTTCTTCTTGCTACTTTTGTTGCACAGCTGTTGTCTTTGGCTCAGTACGGGGCGAATAATTCGATAATTTCTATCTAACCCCCCAAAAAGAAAAAGTAAAAACACAAAGTATAAAAAAAGGAAAGGCAAAGAAAAGCCAATGTGAAAACAATATTGAAAACAGCCACAAAACCGTGTTATCGCATATGACAGCGCAAACAGTTGTTAAGCAAAAGAGCTTGGGAGAGGGTGTCATCTGCTGCAAGAAAGGCTGTGCTGTGTATTAAAAAAAGAAAAAAATCCATCCGCCCCAACATACCAACCACCTAACCTACTACCAATATAAGAAAAGTGAAAGTACCTAGTTGAAGATAAAAGTACGTCATAGCGAACAGTTGTTTTGTATATAGTGTTCTAAAAAAACTATTTTTGTAAAATTGTCTTCTTTTGTGTATATTGCCAAAAAAGAAAGAAATAAATGTGTTGTGTGTTGTTGATTGACCTTAAACATTCCTTTCTATCCTTGAGAGACCCAGTTCTCAGTGCTAATAATTGTATGATGGCCACCTGAGTTGTGTAATATTTATTGAATTTCCAAGCATTGCACACTCGTAGCTACCAGTCGGCAGAAAATTATAATAATTATGACCAATCAAGATAGCAACAAAAAACATGAAAAATACTCAGGTCCTTTGCGTGTTTTGGCCACATTTTATTTTCAACCATCGTGGCTTTTTCCAACAAGCGATGAAAATAGAAGAAAAACTTTAAAAAGGGATTTATTGATTTTTAGCGATAACGATGACGAGGCAAGTGTTTCCAGTAACAAAAATTGAATTTGCTTAAAAAAAATTAGTTGTTTTAGGTGTAAAATTAAATTTATTAAAAATACCTACTTCTTTGTTTCTCCTTTTTCAAATATTACATCATCCTCCTCAGTCATCATCTGCTGCTAAAGGTTTTTACAAATAATTTTGTGGCTGTTGTTGTTGTTGTCTGTTTTTGCAATTTTTTTCTTATTCTTATTTTATATTCTGCTTGCCACATGCAACGAAGGAAAGAATATGATTTTGTTGTTATTTTTTCTTCACATTTTTATTGTATTTCTCTCATGTAGAACATAAAAACAACAACAAATTGAAATAATAAGACGTATTAAAGGTTATTATATATGTGTATTGCAACATATCTTGTTTATGTGTCCACACTTTAAACCTTCTTCATTGCATTTGTTTTTTATTGTTTCTAGCCAACAGAAACCCACAAAAACAACGCCATGTATTTAGTTTTTCACAATTGTTTTTCTTTTGTTTTAATGGCCACACGTTTAAAATTCTTATTGTTGTTGTCCTCGCGGGTGCATCTTATATGTTGTCATTTATTATTTTCATATGATGATGTGGTGTTTCCCAGTACTTATCATAATCGTACAATTTGGTATTTGTTTTGGGGACGAATATTTTTCCAATAATTGCCTAGAGAGGAAAGAAAATGGAAAGAAAATCTATGGGAATGGATTTATATTATTTGAATTATAAAGTACTAGGGTTTGATTTATATCACAAATTGGTTGAGTTTCATTCAATACCCAAATGTTTTGTGGTTTTGTAGGAATTACGAAGTTTTCCACTCAAAAAAACTTACCCATTTTTCTGGCCCTAAATTATATTCATCAATTTATATTTTTTATACAACCAGTTGTTTTTCCAATATAAGAGTGACACTCTTAATATTGAACAATACCAAGAATCGTTGCAATTCTTTTTAGTAAAGTTTGGTTGGTTGATTAGCTCTCGAATTGAGTTTTGGCTACAGAGGGTATACATTATTTGATACGGCCAAGACTTGCCTGCACAGAAATAGAAAGGATGGTCTGAATTTGTTCCAACTTTGCGAATCCTAATATATGTATCAGTGCTAGGTTAGGTGCGAAAATGGACAATATCGGTTCACTCCATCAAGTACCTCCCCCACAAAGGGTCAACATTAAGAGTCCGATTGTCTTTAAATTACACACATCGCAATATTTTGATTAAACTAAGGATTGGTGTGAAAATGGAATATATCGGTCCACTTCTTCCGGTAACTCCCCCACAAAGGGTAACATTTTTGAATATTCATGAGGCTCATAAAACACCTAATTAACATCCGATTCCATTCAGACTTGGCACATCTCAATATTTCTATCAACACAAGATTTGTTACAAAGATGGTAGAGATCGCACCATTACTTCTGGTACCTCCCCCACAAAGGGTTAAAAATTTGAATAACCAAAACGATCATAAAATCCGAAATACGCTTCCGGTTCTCTTCAAATTACACATATCACAATATTTTTACCTTGGGCTAAGGTCTGGTGAGAAGATGGTCCACTTCATCTGGTATCTCACCTACAAATGGTAAACATTTTGAGTATCGATTGAGCTCATAAAACGCGAAAATAATGTCCGATTCAGACTTGATCCATCTCAATATTTCCATCAACACAAGATGGTAGAGATCGCACTACTTCTTTTGGTATCCCCCCCACATAGGGTTCAAGATTTTGAAAAATAAAAGGCTCAAATAAAGCGAAATAAGCATCGAACTCCATCCATTCGTCACCTAAAATTTAACACATACAAAGATTTTTGCTAACACAAGATCTGTTGTGAATCTACCAAATCTACCTCACCCACAAAGGGTCACAATTTCCAATACTTATATCTGTCATAACTTGCGAAACAAGTCGGTGATTCTTTACAACTTGCTAATGAAGTATTAAAACGGAACACATCCGTCTGCTACATCTGTTACCTCACTCATATTTCCACATTTTCCAAAAAATTGAACATATCTCATATAGAGTATAGGAAGTAGTCGATATAGTCCAAATTTGTCAAGTTGTAATATTTCTATGAGTCTTAGGTCAGATACGAATTGGCCAACTGCTTCGGAACCTCCTTCATAAAGAGTCAAGAGTTCGAATAATTATAAGTCAAGGTTGGGGGCATACATCTGTGGGAAAAACCAACTGATACTATTTTTCTTGTGTTTATATAAAAGGGGACCTTCGGCTGACTTTTCAAGAGCCCATTGACGAAAAATTATCCTTTGCAGTAGGTGGTTCGCCTTCAATTTTGTACAAGCTTTATTTTAGAAGGTTTCACTCCTAATCTTTCCGCAAGTAACAGAGGTCCTATTGCATCGTCAATTGATGGTCTTCATTGACACTGGCCGGTACAGCTGCACTCGACGTAAATTTGTTGCGAAATTTTATCTCGAAAGCCCGAATAGTCGCTTCAGTGTTTTGATTTTAAAATTCAATGAATAGGGCAAATGTTTTTCGTTTGAAAGGCGACTACTCTTGGTTCCCAGTCGACATTGGGAACCTATCCACAAGTTATATGAAGTCTCCAATCTTACCCAAAATGTATAAAAACTGATAATTCTTTCCCATATTTATTAGCCTCATACACTATTGGTGTCGATCCACTCCTTCTGGCACCTCCCACACAAGTAGACAAAGGTTTAAAACATAGAAAAATGTGTTTTTTTTTTTTTTTTTTAATTTTTAACAAACATGGATAAAATATTACAGTATAAGGTTGACTATAAGTGAACACACTATACGCTATCGACTCAAAATGGATCATATCGGCCCATCTCTATAGTAAATAAGGCTGAAACCCGTCTAGCTGACTCACTCACGCCATCATAACACTTTGGCCTTTCAGCATTTACTCAATGAAATGTTTTTTTTTTTTTTATTATTTTCTTTTATTTTGCGAGAGTAGAAAAAGAATCTCGAAAAACCGGTCATTTCACTACAGCCGAATGAACGGCCGACTAACCGATCGATCATTGACCTATACCTCTTGCTGTGTATCTGTGTGTGCGTTGTTTTGCTTATTTTGGCAAACGAAAATAAATACCAGAAATTTTGTTTCACTGTAATAGGCTAAAAAATAAAATTTCCTGCTTTCTATTCGTATTTGTCTGGTCTGTCTACATTCTAATGTCGTAAAGTGTGTCGCTAATTTGTTGTTATCTTCACACACAGACACACAAACGCATTTAGAACAATAATGTGCGTCGCGTCATTACTTGCGTGTTTTTTCTGTTTGGTAGAGAATTTGTCACAACTTAAAATAAATGCAGAAAGCCAGAATTATCTTATCAATAGAAAATGGCAAAATATGTGTATTTATATCTAACATGGTCTAAAATAATATTGGAGATATTAAATATAATCCACAATTACGATGAAATTGTGTGTGGGGTTGTATCAGATTAGGTGGGATAAATAATAAACAGCATTCGATTACTTAGCGAATACTAAATAGATAAAAAGGCCACAAGATATGAAATTTCTACACTAATGGGTAATTTGGTTTATAAAAACGTTTAATTTCTTATCATTCTCCAAAAAATATGCCAACAAATTTAATATGTTAATTGTTTATATTTCAATTTTGATTTTTTTTTCATTTATTTTAATTAATTGTTTTTTTGTTTTCATTTTCCACAGATGGCTCCTCCATCATTCTCCGATTTGGGTAAACAAGCTCGTGACATCTTCGGCAAAGGTTATCATTTCGGTTTGTGGAAATTGGACTGCAAAACCAAAACTCCATCTGGCATTGAATTCAGCACAGCCGGCCATTCTAACCAGGAATCTGGCAAGGTTTTCGGTTCATTGGAGACCAAATACAAGGTTAACGATTACGGTTTGACCTTGACCGAAAAATGGAACACAGACAACACCCTCTTCACCGAGGTTGCCGTACAAGACAAATTGCTCGAGGGCTTGAAATTGGCCTTCGAAGGTACCTTTGCTCCACAAACTGGCAACAAGACTGGCAAATTCAAGGTTGCCTACGGCCATGAAAACGTTAAAATCGATTCCGATGTCAATGTTGATTTGAGCGGTCCCTTGATCAACGCCTCCGCCGTTTTGGGCTATGAAGGTTGGTTGGCTGGTTACCAGACTGCCTTCGATACCCAACACGCCAAGTTGACCACCAACAACTTTGCCTTGGGCTACACCACAAAGGACTTTGTCTTGCATACAGCTGTGTAAGTAGAAATGTTTGCAAGAAAAGTCAATTACTTTATATTAATTGTTAACTTTTTATTGAACAGCAATGATGGCCAAGAATTCAGCGGTTCCATCTTCCAAAAGTGCTCCGACAAATTGGACGTTGGTGTACAATTGTCATGGACCTCTGGCAGCAACAACACCAAATTCGGTTTGGGCGGCAAATTCCAATTGGACAAGGATGCCGCTTTGCGCGCCAAGGTCAACAATGCCTGCCAAGTTGGTTTGGGCTATCAACAAAAGTTGCGTGACGGCATCACCCTCACCCTCTCCACCTTGATCGATGGCAAGAACTTCAATGCTGGCGGTCACAAGATCGGTGTTGCTTTGGAATTGGAAGCCTAAGCCAATTGTCCATAAGTTTTTTAATTGTACTAACACTACCAAATAATTATAACAACAACAATAAACTTTCACAAACAACCGAAGTATGTAAAAACAACAACAACAACATCGTCATCTCAGCAGAACAACAAGAGCAACAAATTACACTTCTAATTATAATAATGTTAAAAATTTCAAGCCGAAAATTATTTAAACCGTAATTAAAATGATTGGGTGAAGAGAACAAAAGTTTCAGTTCATTTTGAAACATACATTCTAGTAAAAGAAGAACAAGAAGAGAAAACAACAAATAAATAAAAAAAAATGCTAAAAACCATTGTTAACCATTTGGTTTAAGCCAGTTAAGAAAACCAACATCCAAAAAAAGGACAAACACGTTTTTTCTTAGATTTTAGTAGAACCTTATTAATTTCCCCCACTTCCTTCCTTTCTGTGAAAAGAAAACGAAAAACAACACAGTGTGTTTTTTTCGATTCCATTTTCCTGACCTGCTACCCTCGCCACGAAAATCTTCTACTCTATTGAAAACTGCCCAGCCAGATAAATTATATATTTATTTACTACTACTTTTAAATCATTTAAGCTGTTATTATCGAAACAGTTATTTCAAGCAAAAAATATACTTATATTGCAGAGTAAAGTCGTCTCTGTGCATTTAAATTCTGTGACGTTTTTGTTGGGTTAAGAGATGTTTTGTTTTTGGCTGTGTTCTTTTACGTATCTTGTTTATCTGTAGCAATTCCAATGGGTTCCACTGTGATCTTCAACCTCGTCAAATATATTCGCTTAACAAAATGTTCCTGTATTTTAGTGTGGGGAGTATGTTAGCTAATGTGTAGGTGTATCTCCTAACATAACGTCATTTTAATTTCTGGGTTACCCATTAGGTCAAAATTAGCATGATTGTTTTCTTACTTCATACTCTTAAACTATTGATAAAACAAGTAAAATAGTATCAGTCGGTTTTGCCTACAGGTGTATACCCCCAGCCTTGAGGTATGATTATTCAAGCAGTTGACCCTTTATGGGGGCGGGTTCCGAATCAGTTGGTCAATATTGACCAATCGGTATCTGACCTAATCCTAAATTTCGATAAATCACATATTCATATCATATTTCTGGTTAAGAGAAATATTTAGAGATTACATGTTGTAAAGAATCGCCCGAATTGTTTCGCAAGTTATGACAGATATACAGGGTGACATAAAAAAAAACTGCAACAAAGTCAAACGCCATAATTTTAACATTTTTTTTTTAAATTTTATTGAATGAAAACAAAAAATGCCGCAAAGCATCGAAAGCATCAAATTTTAAAATAAGTTTAGATTTGTTCGAATTGGTCACCTTTGGCACGAATTAGGCCCTTCAAACGGCCAATAAAACCGTCACACGCTGCCCGAATGTTGCTCGGCGGCATTTTGGCCCATTCCCGGCGAAGTGCTTGCTTGAGGTGATCGACACTTTGGTATTTTTTAGTGACAACCTTGCTTTCCAAATACTCCAGACACAATAGTCCAACGAATTGATATCCGAAGATTTTGGTGGCCACTGTGCGCCGGAAATGAAGCGAGGAACCTCATTTTGTAACCATTCTTGGGTGACGCGTGCTGAGTGCGATGGTGGTGAGTCCTGTTGGAATGTCCAAAGTCTACGGCCAAAATTTTTGCGTGCTCAAGGCTTTAATACCCCCCTAGAATATTTTCGAGATAATATTCGGCATTTATTCTGATGCCACGGTCGATTAATACTTGCGGAGAGCGACCATTGGCTGTTATGGTGACGCACACCATCACCATGGCCGGCGCTTGAGTTCTGGTGGCCAACCGAATGTGTACATTTTCAGCTGACCTCTTTGGCAAGTAAACACGATCATTTTGTTTGTTTACAAACTGCTGGACAACAAATGTTTTCTCATCAGAGAAAACCAAATTTGGCATTGAAAATGTAGACATTTTGTGGGGGAGGTACCAGAAGGAGTGAACCGATATTGCCCATCTCCGAACTCGATCCAAGTTTGACAATAATATTACGATGTACCAAGTTTGGATCAAATCGGATAACTTCGAGAGTAATCATGCGCACCAGCCAGACAGACGGGCGATCGCTAGATCGACTCCAAATATCCTGAAACGGATTTGATCCAAAAAAAACCAAACGTCTAAAGCCGTTATTTCGATGAGGAACGTTTTGGCCGTATCAAATGATATATACCCTCTCTCTCTAGCCTTAAGGCTGGGGGTATGAAAAACTGCGAAGTTTTTATATAACCTGGCGGAGTGGGTAAACCCGTAAAATATGGATAATGGGTAATAATATAATGCCATTGTTCTTCATTGTTAGTAGGGTACAATTGGATATTCAGACATTTCGTCTTTCACTCTGATATAAATGAGTAAACACTGACCCGTGAATATCCACGTAAAGTCACTATAATAACCTCTGAAGGAAAATATACTAGTTTATCAATAATATATTTTTTTTCAATTGTAAAAACAGACACACTTATTAAAGTTATGAGACGGGTATTTGTTTCACTAGATAATTGACTTGGAGGCTTACAAAAAGATTAAGTAAATGTGAACAAGAAAACATCAAATTAAACTAATTAAACAACTATAAAAAATATTGCTCTGTTCCAGAACCTGAAAGAATGTACTATTTTTGCAATTTTTTTTTCGATTTCATAAATGGAAAATCAGTTATCGTTGTAAAAACTTGTACATTCTTGAAGTTCTGGAACAGACCAAATATGTTATTAAATCAGAAAAGCAATCAGATTGCTCAATTATGCATGTTGCTTTTCCAACTCCAACAATTCTTTATTCCGCTTTTCCATGCATTTTTTCACCCACGGATGTTGCATTACATCTACCAAGGTTAGACGGGAGCTACCAGTTTTACGTAACAAATTTGATATTACATCTTTAGCTCCGACCGATAAGTAAGGTGGATAATGTATGGCCAAACGGCGAATTTTATCATAGGTCACCTCGTTTTCATTTGATTCGAATGGTGGGCCACCGGTCAAGAATTCATAGCATAGAATTCCCAAACACCACTGATCAACGGAATCGTCATAGGTATGGCCCTCAACCATTTCGGGGGGTAAATAATCCAATGTACCGCAAAGGGTTTTACGTCTGCAACACAAAAAAAAAAATTCTTTAACATTTTTTTGCCGGTCACTTTAAGAAAGAAAACTTACTTATTTGAAATGGTATGTGCTGACCAACCAAAATCAGCCAACTTCACATCATCGGCTGCGGTCAATAGTATATTTTCCGGTTTCAAATCACGATGTATAACATTATTCAAATGACAATAGTGCAAGGCATCTGCTACTTGATATGTATATTTGGCGGCACGGGGTTCGTCGAAACGACAATTTGGCGAACGTCGTAGTATTTTAAATAATTCGCCCTGTGATGCCAGCTCCAAAGCCAAATAAATACGGCTATCATCATGAAACCAGGTAAGCAAACGTAGGATATGCGGATGTTTGAGACGTGATTGAATTTCTATCTCCCTCAGGACCTGGCGTTGAACATTACCTTTTTGTAATTCTGCCTTGAACAGCACCTTCATGGCCACCATGAAATGTGTGTGGCGCTCCCGGGCCAGATATACACGTCCAAATTTGCCTCTACCCAGAGGTGCACCCATTTCAAAATCACGCGTCGACCATTCGTATCTGAAATAAGTACAATTATAACCATTACCAATATAAGGTGTCTGAAATATTTTAAACTCACGCTGTGCCATATGCTGGATGCTGCAACATTCTGAGACACAGGTCTTTCACATAGTCCTTGTGTTCGTCTGGAACCTTTTCCATTAGCTTTGGCAAATCATGGCGATTTGGTGGCTTTTTTGCTGATTTGTGCATGTTTTTTTATGATTGAAGTATTTTTTTTTTAAATATAACAATTAATTAATTTTCAAATAAATACTATTTTGTAGAGGTATGTTAAATAACTTTAGATCAACAAATGCCGCCAAACGAACGTTCCTCCTTTCAAAAACGACGCTAGTCTCAACTGTTTAGAGTTGGCAAACAATCGATAAAAATATCGATAATTTTGTTTGAAGGGAGTATCGTTGATGGTTTTTCCATCGATATTATCAGACAAAATGACAGGAATGGGAGTGTGGATTGTCTATAATAAAAAATAGGTGTTCGGCTCCAAATCCTGCAAGAATCCGCTAGTTTTGCTATCTCTTTCGATATAATAAAGGAAAAATCCGTAATAATGTTAACATGTTTACATTCTTGAAGATTCTGGAACAGAGGAATGGGGGAAAATTCGAGCATGCTTGCTCTATTCCAAAGCCCGCACAAACTATAAATTTGAAAATTTTTCCAAGATTTTTAATACATGAACACACCTAAAGTATTCGTTATCTTTCTGACCCCTGTCTTACTCTCCTCAGAGTCAAAAGAGTTATTCAACTTATATCATGTAATAATTGACAATTGATACATGATGCCAAATCTTGCATTCTTTTAAAACCGGTGTAAATAACTTTAATATAAATGGAAACAACATTGCCTGTTACTGGTCTGAGTTTCTAAGACGTCTCACTCTTGAAACAACTAAAATCATACTTTTCCTTTATTTTTGTTAATTATTTTAAATGTCGTTTGTCCAAAAATTAGACGATCTCTAAAAAAATTATTTAAGCCCAAGAATACTCTTAACAGAAGCAAAGACAATCTGAGTGATACCGTAACACAGATAAGATTAGATAGAACCAAAAACCCAACTTTTAAATGTAAAAATTCGAATTATCGTAATTTTATTAACTTTCGTTTCGCATATTGCGTGTTCAACTCTTAAATATCAAAAACCGAAAAAAATATATAGAAAAAATTGTTTGAATTAAATTATTGTTGTTGAGCTTAGATTTTGTTGAAAGCAGCAATATCGACGCTCTGAACAAAGTCTTCGAGTTTTTCGATTTCCTCGGTAAGCCAGTCAATGGACACTTTCTCGTCCTCGACAACGCAGCTAATACTCAATTTCTTGATGCCAAAAGCAACGGGTACCAATTTAGAAGCTCCCCACAACAAACCGTCGGTGGTGATCTTTCTAATTTCGGTTTCCATTTGACCGAGATCGGTTTCATCGTCCCAGGGCTTAACATCAAGTACCAAGCTGGATTTGGCAATAAGGGCAGGTTTCTTCTCCTTCTTTTTGGCGTAGGCTGCAAGACGTTCTTCACGGATGCGAGCTGCCTCTTCCGACTCTTCTTCGCTGTCGGAAGCAAAGAGATCAACACCATCGTCGTCGTCGGATTTTTTGGATTCCTCGACAGCGGCGGCAGCCGGCTTGCTTGGTGCAGCGCCGGACGACTTGTTGCATAATGATGCCTCCAAAGCCTTAATGCGTTTCTGTGAGTCCAAGCACAAGTCATTCAAGCTGGCAACCAAACTCTTCAACTTAGCATTCTCTTCTTCGACTTGAGCCAAACGATTCAAAATGTCCGATTGAATTTGACACGAACCAGCATCGGAAATGCCACCCATCTTTTCCAAAGATATTTTAATTTGTTCCCTGGCTTTGGCGATTTCCGAAACCAAGATATTGGTTTGTGGACTTACATTGGATGTGCATGATCCCTTGTTCAACAGTTCGTAGTACTGACGTTCAGCGTTGGCAAAACGGGTTTTATCCCAGAATTTTTCTTGACTCAAACAGGAGGCCATTATTTGCAAAATGTCGTCGTCGTCGTATCTCTTTGTCCAATCAAACACACGCAAGCAAAAATCTGCTACCAACGTGCTCCACTATCTAATCAGGGATACCTAAGTCGATTTGTGTATTATCGATTTATCGTCTTTTCCGATTATTGTTTAGCGACTCCTGCAACTTTTCAGTATTAACGGTCGTTTACACGCGACAAGATAATTTAGACATGAATTATTAACATAAGGGTCAAAGCAGAAAGGACACGTTGTGCTTTTTTCATGAAAAGCGTCGTTGATAAGACTACTACCACATGGTCTACGATAACCAAATTTCACTTTATGATATTGAAAAAAATTTCAAAACTAGCAGATTCTTGCAGTTTTTATAAGTAAATATATATAAGCTTAGCACCATATCTGGCAAAGGAATTGCTGAGTGATTTGTCCTTTATGATACTGACTTACAATGAAATAAAAATTATAGTAGATTCTTGCAGGCAAAAATAAGCTGTAAAGGAGTTTCATGAAAAATAAATTATAGTCGATTCTTGCAGGCTTTGGGACAGAGCAAAAAATAAGCTGTAAATATGCAGCTATATAATGAGACAATAAATAAAAGGACAAAGGAGTTTCATGTTAAGTTAACACCTTTTGTGGTATTCGCTATTTGAAACGTTAACGGAACGACTCTATGATTTCGATTTGGATGCAGTAAATAGAGTCTCTTTAAATCTTATTCGTGATTGTATAGTTCTGTGGTCATAAAATAATTGTTATTGTGTGATTAGAAGGCCATTAAAGGCATTAAACTTGTCTTTGCCCTATTTTGACTAGTTGTTATTTTTACCTAATATTGCATATTTACACATTTCGACAGATGTTAAATTGTACAGGTAGTCTAGCTTTATCTTAATCATATATACAATCAAGAAAGTAAACAATTTTTCCCATAGGATTTAAAAGACACAAATGACTTAATGTTTTCCCGTGTGAACTTTACCTGCGATTTAATCCAAACGCAACACTGATCAGGTACTAAATTAATTTGGTACAAATGAAAATGAAACGATGCGCACAGCGCGGAGACGAAGGTCGACTTACGTATCCCTTGAAGAGTCGACTCATTTCGTCATTTGTCTTCAAGCAGAAAAGTACGTGCGTGTGCGTTTCATGAAAAATAAAATACAAAGAAAATTTTTAAACAATGCAAAAAACCAAGTAAATTTATTATCAAGTTACACATAAACAATAAAACAAAGCAATTAACAAAAATATAAGTGACATCTAGTCTATAACGGATAGAAATCAAAGGAGAAAAAGGCAAGTATTTGTGAAAAAAAGGTGGAGGGGGCATTCTAGAAAAACAAAATGGCGGACAGTAGAGGAATGAAAAGCCAGCTACAACAATGCTGTAAAATGATTTTGTAATCGTGATTTTTCTTGTCATTTTCTGTTGCAGATAAACCATATTTGAAATAAAATCTGATTAAAGGTAAGTTTTTAGCAGAGAAAAGGGGATATCTTGGGTATTGCCGTTGTGTGTTTATCGGCGGAGCGATTGTCAGCAGAAAGAACTAAAAGTGGTCCCCTCTGTCTTCGTTTAACCCCTTGGGTGTGTTTGAGAGATTCCTAGCCAAAAAAAAAAAAAAGAAAATATTTTTCCATACAACGCATTGTTGAATAATTGATCAATTGATTACGAATAATGTCGGATGCCATGGCTGCTCCTTTAATTCCTCAACTTCAAGAAATGCAACAACAAAATGCTAGTGGCAATTCTGCCAGTCAACAGCAGCACCAGCAATGGGCCAATTATAATGCCTGGTATCAAAGCTATGGCGATGCCAGTGCCTATCAACGCTATTATCAATATTATATGCGCTATAATATGCAGCAACAACAGCAGCAACAAAATCAAGGGGCAAATGGACCCCCATCAAATGCACCTCCAGGTTTTAGCAATGCAGTTTTGCCAAATGGTGGCCAAGATATGCCACCATTGCCATCGGGACCACCACCACCGCCACAAATGGGTGGAGCGGGTAAAATGGGTAATCAGCAGCAAAAGAATTTTGGAGGCATTAAATTTAATCTTAATCAACAAAATCGTTTGGCAAATGCCCCCAATCCCTTGCAACAACAGCAACAAAATGGCAACGCCAATTTCAATGAAGGAAATAATGCCAATAACAGCAACATGAATAATGGTGGTGGTAAGAAGAAACGTAAGCGTAATAAGAATAAGCAAAATCAAATGCAACAACAACAGCAGCAGCAACAGCAACAATTAATGCAGCAACAACAGGCATTTTATGAAGAAATGAATGGTATTGGTGGCCAACAGCCCATGCAAACGGATGCAGATAGTTCCTTCATGAACATGTCTGTGCCACCACCACCACCAATTATTTCCAATGTCGATTTGAGTAAGCCACCACCACCAATTGCCAATGGCAACATGCATCAGCCAAAAGTGGACAATGCTGCCACCATAGCTCAGCAGGCAAATGCCGCAATGGCTGTTGCCTCCAGCACCAACAGCACATTCAAGAAACCCAATGCATTCCACAATCCCAATGATGCTTGGCCCGAATCTTTGAATAATTATGTGGCCCGTTGTTATGCCAAATGTAATACGGACTTGGATAAGGATCAAATTGACATCTGTCTAAAGGGTAAAATTATTGCCGCCGCCAATCGTAATGAACTGTGGACCCGTGATTGGGATAATGAACCCATACCCAGCGTGTATAGTGAACGTAACAATATCAATATTAAATTGCAAAAGCCAATGCAACAACAACAACAGCAGCAGCAGCAACAACATCATCAGCAGATGCAAAATCACAATCAACGTAATCCCTTCCAAAAGAATCATCAAGCGTCGCCGGGAACGGGTATACCCATGGATCATTTGAAGAATAAACAAGGTGGTGGTGTCAATGCAGCTGCTGGTCTGTCGCGTAATCTAAATGCCCGTTTGGGCCAACGCAACTCATTTGGTAGCAGCAATGGCAAATTGAAGAATTCCCGCAGTCGGTCGCGGTAAGTGAATTTATTTATTTCTTTTTTATTATTTTACATTTGTTTAAAAGACATTTCACATATGGAGATCATATATCGGAAGCTCAATTTTTTGGGGACCAAGTTATAGAGAATAGTGGTTGAATCGAAATATCTCCGATTGAGGAAACATTTTTCAGAGCTTGTTTTTATTCAAGAACTAATCTATTTTAAAATGAAAAGGAATTCATATTTGGTTCTATCTATACTTATCCCGGGAGACAGATTGCAACTATTGCAAGGACCAAAAACTATGTATATTTAAGAAGGGAAATGAAGAATCAAAACTTTGCCGTATTTGTTTCTAAAAACTCGGTATTAGGAGGTTGGCAGTTAGAGTAACGTTTGAGTCGTTTTTGGCAGGCCATTTTTTCTAGGAATATCCCTTTTTAAATTGAGCGGAATCATCTCAAATCTAGTTCTATCTACTTATTTTGGAAGACAGATGCCGCCTCAAAGAACGTCAAAGGAAACAAGAAAAATAAGTAAGCAAAGGCTATGGTCTTGCGAAGCCGACCACGTCTTACCGTGATGTCATAGAGCCCTACCCTCAGCTTTTTAAAAAAATATTCATTTTTTATTGTCATATTTTTACGTGAAAAGTGACCTTTTTACATAAAGCTATGGGTTACTTTACCCGCTAAATATTATCCTATTACTATCCAAATTGGTTATCTTCTGCCCAGCCCTGAACTCTAACTCCGTGCAAATTTCCTCGTCGATTGGTTCATAATTGTGTGCAAAATCAGAAAAATTTTTTGGTCCATTTTAACCCGTAAATATTGTGCGATTATTCTTACCCTAACCTCACCTCCATTTTCAATTTCGTGAGGATTGGGTCACAATTACGACCTTTAGCGTGATTACAAATTAACATGGACAGACAGACGGACTGACATACATAGCTAGATGCACTCAGCTCGGCGAGATAGGAGGAGGAAGATCCATACGCAGTTTCCTCTGTCGGAAACCATTATAAATTTTGGGCCAATCAAAATTACAATACCCCCAAGACAAATACAACACATTTTTTTAAACTTTTGTTTTCGAAAATCCCAATATTTTTATGATAACTAACTAACCCTAACTCCATATATGTTTTTTTTTGCCACAGTTCTCCCTCGAAATATCGTCACAAACGTTCATCGCGTTCGCGTTCGTCCTCTACGTCACCATCTCGTCCACGTAAAATACGCCGTTCATCATCTTCGTCTAGTTCCTCTTCTGATTTTATACCATTATCCTCTTCCAATTCATCCTATTCGAATAGTAAGAAACAACAGAAGAGAAACAAGAAGTCCGCCGATTCCGCTAGCAATGGAGGTGGCGGCAGTTCGTCTTCGGGTAAATCTAAAATTCCATTCTATTCGTCATCGTCAATTGGTGGCGCCATAGATGATGATTCGGCACGTCTGCAGCAACGGGCTGCCCGTTTCTCGCAAGCCAGTAACTCAAAACAGGTTGTTGCAGTTGCCAGTTCACCATTTGGTGGTGGCAGCAGCAATGCAACATCGTCGTCCTCCAAGGGCCACAACAGAAATTCGAAAAAATTCAATCATTCTCGTTCGTACATCGACGATAGCGAGGGCGGTGAAAATGGTTTGGATTTGATGGATTTACATATTGTGGGTACTTGTCATGATTTGGAAAAATCATTTTTGCGTCTAACTAAGGCTCCGTTGCCCTGTGAGGTGCGACCATTGGAAGTATTGGTGCATTCGTTGGAAAATGTAAAACAAAAGTGGCGTGCAAATCAGGATTATTTCTATGCTTGTGATCAGCTGAAGTCTATTAGACAGGATCTAACGGTAAGTAAACACATTCAGTTACCCTGAAAAGAAATTGTCATAAATTTTTTTATTTTACTTTTTGTAGGTTCAAGGTATACGCGACAAGTTCACCGTTGAAGTGTATGAAACACATGCCCGTATTGCCATGGAAAAGGGTGATCATGAAGAGTTCAACCAATGCCAGACACAATTGAAAATGTTGTACACAGAAGTAGGAGCCAGTACCAATACCTTGGAATTTACAGCATATCGTATACTCTACTTTATATTTACCAAGAATACCTTAGGTAAGTTTATCTTTAATTTTGGAAAAATAAATTGAAATTAATTCCTCTTTGTATTTCAGATACCACAACTGTATTACGCTCGATCACACAAGCACAACGAGAGAATCCTGCTATAGCTCATGCCTTGGAATTCCGTTCCGCCTGGGCTATGGGAAATTACTGCAAATTGTTCCGTTTATATAAAACGGCACCACTTATGGCCGGACACTTGATTGATTGGTTTTTGGAAAGAGAGCGCAAGGCTGCTCTGAGGACTATTATCAAGGCGTAAGTTTTGTGTAATAATTTTGAATTCAATAATTTACCAATGATCCATTTTTTTTTAATTACAGTTATCGACCCAACATCACAGTTGACTACATTACAGATCTATTGGCATTTGAATCACGTGATAAATGCAAGGAATGGCTTAGTGGTTTCAATTTGCCTTTTGTAGGTGCAGATGGTGCACAAATTGACTGTAAAAATGCTTCTGCCATAGCAATATGAATTCGATAAACCCCCCAAGAACATCAAACAAATAAGGGCGCAGTAATGGTGCCATTATTTGTTATAGATGGACGTGTTATTTAGAAAAAGAAAACAAGCCAAAACTCAACAACAAAACACAGACAGAGTAAAAAGTTGACTGTTTTTGTGATCTAACGAATGACCAATCGAACTCTCTTTAAAAAGGTGTTTGGTGGTTTTCGGTAGACATTGAGGACGGTCATACTTTTATTCTTTTGTATACAGCAGAAAAAAAAAAACGACAAACAACAACAATTTTTGTACAGGACACAACAATTTACAACCATGCGCTGCGCTCTCTTCGTTACCAAAACCTGAAACCAATCAAATCAAACCGCCGACAATTTGAATTCTTTGCAAGACAACAAACAAACCAATCCTTTAACACGTAAAAATGATGCACAACAAAAACATATTTTCTCTTACGAACCCGGTGGGCTTCCTCGACACAAAAAATGAAATGAAATGGACAATGTGTGTTTAATTTCTTCGTTGTCCCTCCCCCAAAATTTCCAATCAACTCAGAAAGACGATTTGAAACACACCACTATGTTTCTAAAGTGATTAAAAAATGCCGAATAGTTTCTTATAACTCTGTGTTGAATTAGGGAAAATTTGAACAATGGAACTTTTTGTTCTGAAATGTGTGAAGAAGACACATTCTTGTATCTTGCTAAAAAAATATTCTCTTAAAAGACATTCGAAATTGGTATTTGAGAAGGAATTCTACACCAATCCATATTCAATATACGCAGTGAAATCTTCTACAATTTTGTAGTAATGCTTGATTAAGAGTTGGACAGTTAAAATTTCGTCTTTTTAAATTGTCACGGTGCCATACGCAAATATGTTTTCAAATAATTTACGCGTTCGTATTAACAAAAACAAATGCAAATATATACCAGAGTTCTTCATGGAAATATGCAGTTGCCGACCAAATAATTGGATGTATGGATAAATTCCCGATGGAACCAATGCGTCGATCTGTTAACCTGAAGCAAAATTTCACAAGTCTAATTTAAATTTCTTCAACACATCAACGGAAATAACATTTTCAATCATTAAGGAGAGATCAATCAAGATCAGAATATCCTTCTCCGTAATAAGCACTATGTTGAAATTGCGATAATAACTGATACGCTGAAAATGGAGATAAAAAGAAGTAGTGCTCAAAGCAATTTATTAAAATCATACATTTATTGCACTATCTCGTATAGAACTACCTGGTTCGTTGAACAACTTGAACCATCCGGATCTACAAAAGAACTACACTCAACAAAGTTCTCAGAGCCAGCAGTGGATTTATTTTCGTACATTTCCTTATCCATCTCGCATCGCGGAAGATGTTCAAATAAACTTAAACGGAGCTGAAAATTTAATAAATTGCTCTTCTCCAGTTATAATGTCAGATCTGACAAGCACGTGGAAAGATTTTTGCAGCTGTGTCTGGAATCCAAAAATTTAGTGCAAAAGCAATGTGCAGAAGTGTAGAATACCGAGTACACTGGAAAAGGAAACCTCATATGGTTTAGATGAAACAAAAGCTGCTTTGGAAAACGATTCGATTGTCAAGCAGAAATACAACGTACGTCTGTTCAAAAATATATGCATGGCAAATAACAACAGGAGGATAGTCGGAACACAAATGAGTTGAAAAAATTAAGGGAATGAAATAAAAATAAAAATGTATCTAAGATGCAAAACAGATCACTTCTCAGATTTCCTGTGTAAATTTAACATCTACAATCAATGGACTATTCATATTGCCGGTTTCAGACTTCATGGGATCGGAACAGATAAATTCAGCGTTGAATCTTAGCCTTTCGTTCAGAAAATTGGATTTGCATACATGCAAATATAAAGCATCGAATCCATTGAATTGAGAATTGAATCTTAGGATAATGGATCAAGTTCAAATTCAAATCAAAAGATGATTTCAGAACATGATATACCTGGATGGAAAAGAAAAGCATTTCGATTTGCATACAAATAATGAAAACCTCTTTTTTACGAGAGAACAGGTTGATGAATTATACCGCCGGCATGTTCTTATTAAAATGTCAAAAGATCAGTCTTCTTACAATGCAGGATAAAAAGAAAAGGATTTGCATTCGCATACTTGAAATTAAAGCCACATTATTGCGAGGGAACAAGTGTGATGAACTTTATCGCCGACATGATCTATTAAAAGGTTAAAGGATCAGTCTTTTTACAATGCAGGATGAAAAGAGAAGGATTTACAATTGCATACTTGAAATGCAAGCGACGTTATTGCGAAGGAACAATTTTGATGAATTTCACCATCGGGATGTTCGATTAAAATGTCAAAGGATCAGTCTCTTTATAATGCAAGATCAAACTTCACTGTCATCGAGAAGAGTTGAAAATCTCTGATGTTTGCTTTCTGCGATAATGATGGATTTGGCGCTGTAAAATATGGAACTGTTTTAAATCTAGGCAGAAATTGTCACCCACTTCGATATTTTGTTTTCTTACATTTTCCAAAAGCATATTGAGCTGCACAAGTCCTGCAAAATAAAAAAAAGTTGAAATGAAAACAATTTATGGATAAAGTTTCGAAACATTGATCCTTGAAGCAGATACTTTTGCAAATGTCGCTGTTTTGTCTCCGTTCAAAAGGAGTCCCTATATAGTTGAACAGTTCTTGTAAACATGGTGCTACTTTTATTTTTCGAAAGAGAATGAAGCTTAAGTACCGTAAATTTCAATGGAATACCGGCAAGATTATTGAAGCCAACTGCATGTATTGGATTCCCTCAGTTTTCTAAAACTTGTAATGGTTATGAAAAAATGAATACTTTTCCAACACCAAGGACTTGATAACACTCCGACACCAAAGCAGTGCATTACAAAAAAAAAAGAATAAAGATATGATCATCGCCTTAATAAGGCAAAAATCAAAAAAAAAAAAAAAAAAAAAAGGAAAAAAAAATGAACTGTTTAAAAAAGTGTGCCATAAAAATAATTCATAAACAAAAAATACATGGACAGTATAAGCTAAAAAAGTTATATGAACAACAAATTGTCCACCACGCCCCATGAAAAAGCCCACCCATAAACGTCGTCGTTCAAACAATATTTCCCCATTTAAAACATTTATTTCCAAAAACGCATCATCAGAGATCATAATTTAGATAGAAGCAGTGAAAAATAATTTTCTTATAGATTTCCTCCACCCACCTCCTTCCCTTTCCATGTAACACTTACCCAACAGTCCTCCTTTTTTAGGTTTCTGCTATATATTCTAACTTATTGTTTTTAATTTATTTCTATTTATTTCAAATGTGTGTCCAATATTTTTTCTTTAAAAAAAAAAAAAAAAACAAATTTTTTTGTTAAGAAAAAAAAAAAAAAACAATACAAAATTTTTTGTAATTTTTGTAAAATATTGTTAAAAAAAACACACACATATTATTTTTAAACAAAAAGAACACACACACAATAATGTTTACAGCTATGTGGAGATCAAGAAACTAATCATTTTGTTTTTTTCTCTGAGACAATAAATCGAGAATCAACAATGTTGCGGACAGAGGAATGTCAAGTACTAAGGCGGAAAAAAACGCGCATCAATGGTTTTTGTGGCAACAGAATCATTTGCCATGGACCAAGGCTGCTTTAAAATATCCATAGATTATCCCTCAAGCAATATCCAGTATGGGACACAACAGCCATCATCCATCCACAAACATCAGCAGCAAACATGAACAACAACGTCCAAATCAGCCAGCCAGCCGTAAGCATGTAAAAACTGTATTTAAAACTGTTATATTATTTTCTTCTGTCTATGGTTATTGAGTGCTGGGGGATACATCAATCTCCTCCTTCGCCCAAAAAATTAAAAGAAAACTTCTAATCATACTTGTAAAAAAAACAATCATTATCTAAATGTTAAATAATAATTCTCTTTTTATCTGTTTTTCTTTGGTGTCATGATAATAATGGATTTATGTACAATTAATTTATTTTTACTGAAAAAAAAAAAACAAATTTTCTCATTCATAGCATAAATTTATTATTAAATATCTATTCATTTTTAATATTTAGCTTGTAAGTTCATCACTTAGGTAGTATATAATCTGTATATTATTTTTCTTATTATTATTATTGATTATTATTATAATTATTGTTAATTATTTACTAATGTTTAATAATTAAGTGAATTTCAAAAAAAAAGAGAAGAGAAAAGAAGATGAAAAGGAGTTACAAAAAAAAAAAACTCACTAAAACCATTTGAATAACAAAATGATAAACGCGCCATATATAACACATGCTCGTTCTTCAATCATTATAGATGGAGCCACGTTTAAGTGTTGCCGTCCTCCATGATGATATATATGTGGACAAAAACACTTGCACAACAAAAGAGAAAACTCAATAAAGAATTTTAAAAATTACACATGTGGAGTTATTTTCTCTTTCTGCAAAACAATGTGGATCTCCAGGAGGGAGGGAGTATTGGAATGGTGCAAGAGTCTTAAATGCGTTTTATAGATGGAAGATCTTTATAGGTAGGAGTTTTTAAGGAAACTCGAAGCCATAATGGTGGGTTTTAAAGAAAATTTGCTAAGGGAATCACAGAAGCAGAATTGGAGATTTTTAAAAATATCTATGCCCTCGGATAAATAATTGTGAATTTTTAATGGTGGGAATACATAAAGCGCTTATTTGGCTGGCTTACTTAAGTCATCGGCTGGATTCTTCGTAGGGGAACAAAGGAGTTTTAGGTTGACTTAGTTCGATTTTGGCCCTAGGCTTCTTTGTTCAATTCCGAAGAAGCTAGCCGATAACCTAAGCCAGATAAATAAGTGCTTAATGTATTTCCACCTTAAGAATATTTTGTAAGGGAAGCTCGGATATTTTTTTTATCGAAATTTCGGATCATGGATTTTTAATAATTTTTACGAGGGAATCACGGAGCTTGATCGTAAATTTTTGAGGATGTATATATTTTTTTCATATAATCTCGTGAATTTCTAATCCATAATCATGCATTTTTAAGAGTATTTCTTGAGAACCTCGGAATTTTTAGAATATTTTTTACGGAATCTCGAAGCTATAGTCGTGGATTTTTGAGAATATCTTTATGAAATGTCGGAACCATATCGTGAATTTCGGAACCATATCATAAATTTTTGACGGAATCTCGTAGCCAGAATTGTGAATTAACAACATTTATAAAACATTTTTTTTAAATTTGCCCAATGGCCCAAAATCGGATATTTTTAAAAGTCCATATACTTTTGGATCTCTAAGAATATTTTGTAAAGGAAGCTTGGAGATTTTTTATGGCAATTTCGGATCATGGATTTTTAATTATTTTTTCTCAAGGGAATCTCGGAGCTAGATGGTAGATTTTTAAGAATATTTTTTTAAAGAGTCTGGTGAATTCTTTATAATTTTTAGTTTTAGCTTCCACATACATCTTCAACCGATTTCGGGTTAATTATGCAGCAAATGGCCAATATCAGTCCAAATGACCTGAATTTTGGCACAACTAACCGAATTCAGTTAAGAAGCAAGTACTTTAAATTTGGTGACAATCGGTTCAGATATTGCTATACCTCCCACATACATATGTTTCATCCGATTTGGTTTTAAACAACATAACAATGATATTTGATACCGGACATCAGATACTGCTCGAAGATACCTCTGCCAAATTTTATCGAGATCGATTTAGATTTGTTTATACCTTCAATATTTTACGGTTACATCAGCCCAATTTGGATTGTAATTTTGCCCATACTAATATTTTTATCTGTATAAGACGCAACATGAAAATAGAATACTTTGATCGACTATATCTGGTACCTCCGCATATTGTCAATATTTGTCCATTCCTTCGGAACCATAGAGTATCAACAATTTTAATAATCATAACAGAAGTCAAAGTAAATTTAAATAATCAAACATTGGCTAAAGGTATACATCTGTCAACAAAACCAACTGATATATTTTTTTTAATTGTTAAAAATATATTTTAAATAGAATCTCGTAGTCAAAAATCGGGGATATTTAAGAATATTTTAAAAGGAAATTTTAGAGGCGGAATTGTAGATGGGGGTTGTTTTCCTTTAAACCTTTTTTGTGGGTGTAGGCCGTTTTTGCGTTGAACGCCTTGTATTTAGAAGACCATTTACAGAATCTCATCACACTTTCAGAGGTCTTTATGGCATCCAGCGCCATCTCTTTGTTGGTTCCGAAAAAGCTTAGGATGTCAAATGTTCGTTATATACAAATTATGCAACAAAAGCTTTTTAACACCAAAATTGGGCATTAAAGCTTTTAGATCCAACACAGCCAAGTTCGAAACCCCATCAAAGTGACAAAAGAGCTTTCTCGCCAGAACATGTATGTTTCAACAGTATTTTTTGGGATATTTTGTGCGTATGCCATAACTCTAAGGACCCATCTACATTATCCACACAGACATTGTTTTGGGAATTTTATTTTTTTTCATAACGACGTTGGGCGCCTCTGCCTCTGTTTACGCACGCACCTGTATGAATGGAATAGTAGCCCAGCCGCCTGGTTGGCTGTCGGCTATGTTGGGCGAACGATGGAACGAACAAATGAATGAATGAATTCACATCGAATGGATGGATGGCAAGGACATGACTGGCTGTGTGTAAGGGTGTGGGAGGGAGAATGGTTGAAGGAGCATTATGTTGCTACCAAAACCAAACTAACTAACTAACAACGCAACACAACACAGCTCAGCACATCGCAAGAGTAGCAGCAGCAATCGGAAGAACTTTTCGGGTATTTAAGGATGCTGCATTTGTGGCAACACAACAGTTGCTGCGCGACATTCACACGTTACGGATCTCCTTGTGCGGGAATAAAACCATCGCTCGTCGGGTGTTTTAGATAAATAGAAAGTGATTTTGAAATAAGAAACTTAATTAATGAATTAAATGAAAAAAAATATTTAATTTAAAGGAAACAAATTTAAAGGAAATTCTTGACATAAAAATTGAAAACAAATTTAATTTAAAAAAATAAATGAATGAAAATAAAAAAATATTAATAAAAAGTAAATAAGAATAATATACGGAATTAAAAAATAATTTCAATGTTAACAAAAATCATCAATTATTTGAAAAAAAAGAAATTAGTTTTTGAATAGCTAAAGGTGATTTTAACATCAAATAAAAAGGTTGGCTTACATTTGTTTTTAAGTTACAAATAAATTATGTTAAAAACAATAACTTTAAGTAAAATTAAAACAGAATTATAAACAAAAAAAATATATATTTTTTTTTATTTAAAAAAAATGGTAACTAAAATAGATTACAGTAATAAAAAAATATTGTCTTATCGCATGTGACAATTGTGTATTAAATTCTTTTATATTAAATAAAAAAATAAAGAATAATTAATTGGGACAAGGAAAATATATTTGGCTTCGATTTCACTCTTTCAGATAGTGATACATATTTTTTTGAGATTAATGGAGATATTTGAATTTTCAAAATAGATTGTTTGACACATTATGTGCGAATCATTTCTAAGAATTTGGAAAAAATCTAATCTATTTCGTGTGAATAAAACAATATGTCTTTCTAGGGATTTAGAAAACATTTAGGGATTTAGGAAGATTTGTATAAAGTCCAGAATAGAAAATTACTGACACCACATTCTTTTGGAAGATTTTAAAACAGAATTTTATTATAAGATTCTAATTGGAACAGAAATTAAGTGCGGACTACTGAAAAGAATAAGAATTCTTTCGAAAAAAGAATAAAAATTCAAATTAGAACAAATAACTCAAAAGTGATTGGAGGATGATTTTAAAATAGTCCTTAAAACTATATCACGACTACACCGAAAAAGTAAATTATTTTTTTGTAGTGATTTGTTGAAAGATTTTGATTTTTTTTAAATATGAAAAAAAAAAATAAAATTTAAACAGAAATAAGTTCCTTAGTCTTAAATGGGTTTGTGGGATATCATATGCTCCTCTCCGCACAACTATAGCCTAATAATAATAATTTTAAATTTTTACACAATTTAATTTTTAAAGAATATTCTTTGAAAACATGCTCAAAGTTTACAAGTAAAAAAGCAGCTAAGTTTGGCCGGGACGAACTGTTAATACCCGCCACCATTAGGAAGGAACTTGAAAATTTTCAAAAAAAAAAAAAATCAAAATTATAAAAGACATTTAAATAGAAATAAAAATAATTTAAAAGTAATGCATTATTTAGTAAGAAATTTAATTTTTTTAAAATGATTTAATTAAAAAAAATATATATATATATATAATTCGAAAATACAAGAATCCATTGTAGAGTATAATTTTCGAACTATTGGAGTTAAAAAATATTTGCGTGAAATTGGATTCCAATAATGTTTCGAGAACTAAGGGCATGTTTCTGTATGACAATACGACAGTGAATTCAAAAGAAAAATACAATCGCAAATGAGCTCTTTTATAGGGAATTAAGAAAAAAAAAAAAACAATAATAATAAAAATATAGTAAAAAAATAAATCTTATCAACCGTCAATTAAAAAAAAAACTCAATATGTTGTATATTATTTTGGGCCAAACCATTAAAAAATTGTTTAATAAGAAGTAAGACATAAAAAGAGAATCAATAAAAAAGTGAAATTTAAACAAGGTTTGCTGCAGTGTTTAGAATAAGTGTGTGGTGTACAAATGTGTGATATTCAAAACTGTTCTTTCTCGAAATAATAGAAAACAACTACAAACCTTAAATAAAATTAAAACAATTGCAAGTAGTACTAAGTTCGGATGGGAAAAATTTTTGTATACCCTTCTCCATGTGACATTTTGAATACTGGTCAAATCGGTTACCCTTAAAATTCTGCAAATTTAAAAGGGACATATATACATTTAATATTTTTGAGAGAAGTTAAAGTACACAAAATTGCAATTAATTACAATTAAAGTTGGGTTCACAACATTCAAAATACAGAAAATCAGGAGGTACAGTTGAACAACATTGAGTATTTTTACGAGAGATTAATTAACCAAGAGAGGACCCAAAAATGTCTGAAATATTTTCCAATTTTGATCCAAAATACCATAAACCAGGAGATCCATTTTATGGAAGCAGGAAACAAATTGAGGTTAGAAGAACTCTTCTTTTTTAATTTTCCAGAGTTAGATATGTTTATACCAATTCCGGAAAAGTATTTTTTCTTGACGGTTGTCCGCATATTTGACTCGGAAGTCCAGGTGTAAAAACCGTATAAATTTTAAATACATCAATGGAATATTCTCAAAGGAATATTTATAAGGTGTTTTAAAAAATAATTCTCAAGGGATTTTTTTTAAGTTTTGTAAAACTTCAGCAGTAATACAAACGTAGTCTTTTTTAAATGAACAACAAATACCAAGGGTATATTTTTGATTTTTTTTTTAAA